GGGGTGGTGGCCGTACTGGACAGCGTGGTGCAGGGCACGGGCCCGGCCTGCGAGCGCAAGCGCAACCTCCAGGTGCGTTGGGGCAAGGGGCGCAGGGGGAGAGGTGAGTGAGGGACCCAGGTGCAGAGATGCACAAACCCGGGACTAGGGAGCGAGTGGCACAGGTGTGCGGTGGGTGCGATCCAGGGGCCGGTGGCAGAGGGTTACTGGTGAGGCAGGCGCGTGCTAGAGGCCACAGCGCTGCACTAATGGCCCTGCAGTTGAGGGAGAGTGGTGACAGGTCTGTGTGCTACTGGCCGGGGGCCTGCAGCAGGTGGAGTGCTGCAGAGGAAGCGTGTTTAGAGTAAACGCTGAATGAGGCCATGGTTAGCAAAAAAGTGTGTGCCAAAGCCAACTTTATTTTATTTTTTAGATAAGATCTTGTTGTGTAGTTCAGGCTGTCCTTGAACTCACTATGTAGCCCAGGATGCCCTCAAACTCCCAGTGATCCTCCTGCCTCAGCTTCCTGAGTGCTGGGATTATGGGTATGTGCCACCATGACTGGCTAAGTTTTTACTCCTTTAGCAAATATTTACTAGTGTTTCGTCTGCCAGGCATGGCAGAGGTGGGGTAAACAGTAGTACCTGTGAGGTACCTGTCACACACAGGAAATGTCACAGGTCTCAGTGCCCACAGCTGCCTTCAGACCCCATCCCTGGCACGGGTTAAGTGCCTTGCCCGATCACACAGCCAGCAAGGCAGAGAGGGATTTGGAGGCAGCTATCCTGCCTTGGCCTCCAAGTTGTGCTGAGGTTGCCTTGCTGAGGCTGGGCAATGCGTATGTTGGGAGGGGGATGTATAGTTGGGGGGGGTGCTGGTGGCAATCAGGGAAATGGAGAGATCACAGTGGGTGAGGGGCACAGCTGTCCCAGGCTGGGTTGAACAGGGGCAGGAGGGCTATTATGGGTCAGATGTGTTGGTCTTGGGCACTGTGACTGAGTGGTGCCAGAGGGGCCTTGTGGGAGTTCCCCGTAAAGTGTCACTCCTCCCTATGGCCTGTGGATCCCCATGTTTTTCCCTGAGCCCCAGGTGATACCCAGACTCAGCAGAATGAGGAACCCAGCCTGACCTCTGAGGTCCCTGAAGGTCCCTGATTAATAATTCCTGCTATGGGCATGCCCACCTCGGACTCACACATTCCTTCTTCCATCGACCTGTGGGCCCCTGAAATAAAGGTCGGGTGGATGATGGGCAGTCCTGGAAGCGCTCCTCCCCTGGGCAAGGATCAAGGCTGTGTGTGAGGGGAAAGGGACAGGGCCAGCCACCAGGAGGCTGGGCTGGGGGCCTGGGACTAGAGACATGGTGAAAGGAGGGGAGGCCAGGTTGAGGCCACCCCAGGGGGCTGCAGCAAGCCTGAGCCTGGGGAGCCCTCCTTGGCCACTGCCACCCCTCCCCCTCTGGCAAGAGCCGTCCCGGTTCCCACGGTCTGTCCCCTCCCATCCTTCCCCTCCCAGCCCCTGCAGTGACTCACACTGCCAAAGGCGGCTGTGCTTTCTCCCCTTCTCCCCAGGGCAGGGCCTCTCCAGGGACAGAGCCCAGGATGGCAGCCAAAGCCTCCTCCTCACCCGAGGCCACAGAGATGTGGTCGAAGCTCTCTCTGAGTGCCCCTCCCCCATGGGCCCAAGTCTGTGCCTCCGGTATGCACCGGTGGAGATCCCACTGGGAGTGACAGCTGCCGTCCCTAAACTGCAGGCTAAGGGCTCAGACTTTGCCCTGGGTTCAGATCCCAGCCACACTTCCTGGCCACACTTCCTCAGGCCAGCACGAGGACTTCTCTGTGCTTCACGTTACCTCATCTGTTAAACGAGGACAGTAGAGCCACCCTTACTGCTCGGGGTCACCCAGCACCATGGGGGCAGGCTGCATGTGACTCCTGTCCCCCAAAGTCCTCAGCCTCCAAGTGACCACATGTTGTGTATTTAGATTAGAAGGAGCAGGGGCACAGACGCCAGCGTCGCCCTGCAAGGTGTCTTTTTATAGTGAAGATAGCTCCGTGGCAACTCTCTCTGACATGCGGTGGGTGGGTGGGTTGGCGTGTGGTAGGAAGGTGTTTTCTGTACCGGTTTAGGGTCTGAAATGCCAGGTGGGAGTGGAGGGGGAGCTTGCAGAATGGCTCTGTATTGAGCCCTGGGCTGGGGCCAGAAGAAAGCTTCCTGGAGCTGAGCATTGCTGGCAGAGACCTCTGGAGGGATTTTGGGACAATCAGGGCTGACCCACACCCCGTGGTGGGGAAACTGAGGCCCAAGAGGGCAACACAGCTGTGTAAGGGAAGTCAGGATCCAGACTGGCTGGAGTCTATTGCCAGGCCCTGGAGGTGGATCACTCGCTAGTTGTGACCCTGGGCTTCCTGCTCTTTGAGTGCTCTCGGGCTGGGACATAGGGACTTGGAGCTCCTTCAGGTTAGTCTGGGCCGATGCAGCCTCCTGAGGACATCGGAGGCCAGAAGAGCCATGTGGCTATCATCTCTGAGCCCCCAGGAGGAGGGAGTGCCTTGGCCCTTTGGGTATGCAAGTGTCAGGTCCTTTTACACACCCACAGCAGAGTCCTGACCAGCCCAGGTCTGCAGTGCCCCTCAACCCTGGGATGGGTGGCCATCATCCTTGGACACCTAAGTTCCCCCACCCCAAGGCCTTCCTAGCCGAGCCCTCAGCAGCTCACATACCCTCGGGCCTCTGTGTCCTGGGTTCTGGGTCCTGGTGGCTTTAGGGGAACAGAGCAGAGGGAGGGCCGCAGCCACCAGCAGGCCACTGCCCATATCACCATCACCATCACCTGATCTGTGTGCCCCATGTGCCCTGTGAAGCTCTATATTTGCAGGCTGTCCTTCCATCCCCTGGACAGCAAGTGACTTGCACAGCAGAGGCTTAGGGAGTTAAGGGACTTGCTGGGGTCACACAAGAGACAAAGGTGGACCTCTCAGGAGGCCCCATCTGTCACCTTTACTCCCTGGCTTCTGACACCACTGCCCAGGGGGCCGGCAGGAGGCAATGGGTTCATTGGACTTGGATAGAGCTCCAGGCAGGCCTGGCCCTGTGCCACCAGGCTGACACCATAAGTCAGTCCTGTGGGGTGCGGATGCCCCAGATCCATTAGGGCACTGCACTCTGATTGGATGGGTGAATAATGAGGTGGCCGCCTTGGGGTGGAGCTGGGGAGGGAGGGACAAGGACAGAAACCTTGTGGGCACCACAGGAAGTGCTGCTTACCCCTGGTGTGGGACCCCAGAGTGGAGCCCAGAGTGGAGCCCATCCTGCCCCCTCCAAGGTGGCACACAGTAGGCCCAGCTCCCCCTGTGCCTCAGTTTACCCTCAGTAGAGCCAAAGTGTTCCAGGAGCAGCATGTGCCAAGGTGGGAGCAGACCTTACAGGTGGATGTTCTGAGGCATTGCACCTCTGACCTGGCCCTGTCCTATCCAGTCCCTGCCTGCTTCCTGGTTCTGGCCCAGTGGAGGAGGAGCCGAGTTCCCTCAGGTCTTGGTCCCAGTCAGGAGCCCATCTTGATAGAGCAGTGGACCTGGACAAGGGTCCTGAGACAGACCCAGAGGTCAGAGCCGACTTGGCACAGGCCAGGGAGTCAAGAATGGGCTTCTGTGGAGAGCACTAGGGAGCCATCGAAAGCTGTTGAGCTGCAGAGGGGCCACGACCTACTTTGCAAGTTTTTTTAAAAAGTATTTTTATTTGGAGATAATTTTAGATTTACAGGAAAGTTATAAAGATAGCACAGGCAGTTCCTGTGTACCCTCCCCCTGCTCCCCTGCCCCCATCTCGTTACCACGTGACATTCGTCAGAATGAAGAGAACAGCTTTAAACAGGACTGCACTGACTCAGGTTGACGTTACATAGTCCTTCCTTCCCGGGGGCCAAATTGCCTTCTATGCAGCCCCTGGGACTGGAGGTGCAGCCCCGTGGGGAGCGCCCCACTGGTGTTTGGGAGCAGCTCAGGCCCTCGCCTGCTTGGCCGAGAGGTGTCAGGGCTGCAGCCACTGTAGCCTGGTGGCTTAGCGCCCGCAGCAGACACCAGAAACACCCTGTGGAGCTGCAGCCCTGCTGGCCCTGCTCAGGGTGCCCAGCTGGACGGGAACAGGAGCTCTGCCTGAGCTGGCTCCCTGGGAGGGAAAGACAGTGCAGTTCCGGTCGTAGGATCCATAGTCCTCACTCTGTTGGGGTGCAGACCAGGAGGCTGCCAGCCCCTGGAAGAGGGCGCTCAGAGGAGTGGAAACCTAGCCACTGTATGTCCTTCTCTGGGAGCTGGCACCTGTGTCAGTCACCGTGCAGTCAAACACCTCCCTCAGCGCCGGCACCAGCACAGCTGTGTTGTTTTCAGTCATTCCGCTTGTAAAGGAAGCTGCTGAATACAGTCATTCACACTTCAGTCAAAATTAGACCCCCCGTCCTTAGTAAACACTCGCCCCCGAGCTTAGCCTCCATACCTGGTGAGGCTCAGGCTTGTGCTGCCAGCACCATGGTGTCACAGAGCAGGGAAGTGTCACTCTACAGCCGCATCCCGGAGGTCGGCTGGAAGCTGGCTTGGCGCCCCTGGGAGGAAGGCAGTGTGGGTCTGGACAGTGTGACGTGCAGGGAGACATGTGTGTGTGTGTGTGTGTGTGTGTGTATGTGTGTGACTCTGGAGTGCAGTGTGGAACCTAGCTATAGAGGGGCATTTGTAAATGTTCCGTCACAGGTGGGAGGTGGGAGGTGTTTGAGGGGTTGTGGGGACCAAAGGGTTGGAGCAGAGCAGGGTCATGGCGGCCTGGGGTGCCCAGCTGGGGCCGCAGGGATGTGCAGGGGAGCCTCTGCCCATGCCTGTCCCCTTCCCAGCCTGCAGCCTGGGACGAGCAGCATCATTCAGAGCAGCTGGCGGCTTCTCCTTTAAAAAAATTTTTTTTTAATTTTATTTTTAGGATAAGAAAAAAAAAGTTAGGGGAAGGCTTTTAGAAAATTCCTTCGGTGCAGAATTAATGGCTTGTGAACGTCAGGGCGGGCGGCAGGGCTGGGCCCCAGCCTGTGCCTCTCAAGGCCCACAGGTCACCCCTGAGCCAGCCCCACCTC